AATCCGCCGCGCCTCGGCGGCGCAGAGGGGGTCCTCGATGCGGAGGCGCCTCGGGGCCATGTGGAGAGCGGAGGCGGACGGGAAGGGGGCGAGGATGAGGGCAGCGATGACGAGGGCGCCGGTGGTAGTGGCGACGATGATGGCAGCGAGGAGGAGGAGGCTGAGGAGATGAGGAGGAGTTGGATGTTACAGCACACTCTAATGACGATGGGGATGATGTCGATGACGCTGTTGCTGTTGTTGATGATGGTTATGCTGATGATGCTGATGATGCTGGTGCTGATGCTGACCCTGCTGCTGATGATGACGATGGTGGTGATGATGATGATGCTGATGCTGATGTTGACGATGGCGTTGACCATGACGGTTGCAGCGATGATTACGACGACGATGGTGACGATGTGGTTGGTACGGATTGTCTTGCTGACGACGACGCTGACGATGACGATGACGATGACGACGATGACGATGTCGATGACGATGACGATTACGATGACGATGCCGATGATGATGATGATGATGATGATGATGATGATGATGATGATGATGCTGAGATGATGATGCTGAGGATGATGATGATGATGATGATAATGATGATGATGATGATGACGATGCTGATGATGCTGCTGCTGATGATGATGATGATGAAGCTGACGATGGTGACGCTGCTGCTGCTGATGATGATGCTGATAACGACGACGATGATGCTGATGATGACGAAGATGACGCTGCTGCTGCTTATGATGATGATGCTGATGATAATGCTGACGATTATGATGTAGTTGATGATGGTGATGATCATGGTGGTGTTGGTGATGATGACGACACTGAGGGTGGTGGTGGTTGTTGCGATGCTATGACGGCGATGATGAGATGATGAGATGGTGAGAAGACGAGGACCTGGATGCAGACGACGTTGACGAGGAGGAGCACGAGAGCAGGAGGCCGATGCCGCTAAAACGGTGATCCGAGGCACACAAAGGACCGCAGGCCGGGGCCACCCGCGTGCGCTCCACACCCGAGGCCAGCAAAGAGGTGGGGGGCTGTCCCTGGGACGGCCACGCTCACGTTGTGTTAAGTCGGGCCTGTCCTTCTACAGGAGGAATATCCAAAAATAGTTCAAAAATGGTGAGGGGACGATTTTTTGACCATGTTTGAGCAGTTTTGGACTATTTTTTGCGTATCTTTAACTTTTTCGCCCAAGATCCCCCTGTAGGGGGACAGGCCCGACCTAAACGTTGTGCTGCCGAGGCGCCCGAGGACGACGAAGGGCCGAAAGGTCACTGCCGCGGCTCGCCTCGACAGCCAGCGAGCCTCAGGCCGTGCGCGCCGGGCAGCCCTCCAACAAACAACCAACCAACAAGCAAACAAACAAACAAGCAAGCAAGCAAGCAAACAATCAAACAAACAAACAAACAAGCAAGCGAGCGAGCAAGCAAGCAAGCAAACAAGCAAACAAACAAACAACACAGATCAGCCCCTATTCCTTCTCGCAGCCTGCGGGGAAACCTCGCCCGCATCTGGGAGGCCAGTTGCAGGAAAGGGCCCATTGCCATTCCGATCGATCAGGTTCGGTATCAACTTCGGCCATGACGATCCGATGCGTGTCTGGCATTCCGACCATCCGATGCGGCCCGATGTTTGCATGCCGCTGTAGTGCTAGTGCAAGTTGGCGCGGCCGATCCGATTCGATTCCGACTCCGTGCCGATGCAGCCCGATCCGATGCACGTTCCGATTCGATGTTGACGGACCCTGCGGTAGAGATGCACGAGGCGGCAGCCGAAGCCAGGCCCACACGCGCACGCCCCATGGGGGGGGGCGGCCGTGCCGGCGTGCTCAGGCACGATGCCGTGGTGGCCGCTCCGGAGGCATGCCGAGCCCGCCCACAGGCGCGAAGCCCAAACGGGACGCAGCCGTCTTGGGTCGCATTCGACGGCGGCTCGCCAGGAGCGTGTTTTTTTTATTGCTTGGGGCATGATGGGCATTACAGCCCCCGGCCCCCCCCCTCCCCCCCTATAACGTAAAACGCCCCTCTCCCCCCAGTGCGCTCTGAGCACTGCCGCCGTGCGCACGGCGGGGGGGAGGCGTTACATTACACCCCCCCTCCTGCCCCCCCCCCTTATGATGCCACGTATATCGCCGAAAACAGAGAAACGCGCTCCAGCCGTCTTGGGTCGAATTCGACGGCGGCTCGCCAGGGGCCGCATCCCGAGTCCTCGTGCAGAGATCCGAGGTGGGGATTTATACAGAACCACCGCCTGGAGGGTCGGTTCCGGAGATCTCGACGGTCGGTGGATATGGATATATGTGGGCCCCCTGGGGGCCAAACCATGTCTGTATCCACCGCCCGCTGGGGCACCAGGGCGTCGATTCCCAGGCGGTGGACATGGATAAGTTCCCGCCTCGCAAAATGGGCTGTAGCCGTCTTGGGTCGCATTCGACGGCGGCTCGCCAGGGGCCGCGTTCCGAGCCCTCGTGCAGAGAGGCACGCATCCTCGCGAGCCGCCGTGGAGCCTGGAGCAGATCAGGAGGGAAAAAACACACAGACATAATTAATGGTCGATTCCCCAGAAAATGTGGGAAAATATGGGAAGTGGGGGGGAAGACGAAAACCCCCCCAAACATAGGAAAAATGGGGAATAGTTTTATTTGTGTGCATTTATTTGTCTGTCCCTGGGCCCCTTCAGCAGAGCGTAGCGTGGCCCGGCGAGGCCTCGGCCGGGAGGCGCACCTCGTGCGCCCCCCCGGGGCTGTGGCCTGCCCGCGTGCTGAGGCACCACGGGCCCGCGCGGCTCTGGCAGCGCCAGCCAACGAGGCTGGCGGCCGCGATCCAAGCCTCAACGCAGGCCGCCCTCGAATCGAGGAGCATATCAGGGTTTAAGTCGGGCCTGTCCCTCTGCAGGAGGAGTACTCAACAAAATAGGCACACGCTTGTTCAGGGGACGATTTTTCTGGACTATTTCTGACAATGTTTGAGCATTGTTGGGGCATGCCGAATTTTTCGTCCAGAATCCGCCTGTAGGGTTAGGTCGGGCCTGTCCCCCTACAGGGGGATTTTGGACGAAAAAATGGAGAAACAAACCTAACAATGCCCTAACAATGACCTAAAAATTCTCAAACATGGTCAACAAATAGTCCCCAGACAATTTCCTGGACTATTTTTGAATATTCCCCCCTGTAGAGGGACAGGACCGACTTAACTGTAGGGGGACATGCCCGACCTGACACTGGCAGCGGGGTCGGAGGCGTGGCGCTGCGACGGGGGGAGGAGGCCCACCTGGCTCTCCCGCCGTGCATCCTGCCTCGCCTCCCTTCTCCCCCTGCCCCCCCCCCCCCCCCTCCTCCTCCTCCTCCCCCCCCCCTCCTCCTCCTCCCCTCCTCCTCCTCCTTCCTCCTCCTCCTCCTCCTCCTCCTCCCCTCCTCCTCCTCCTCCTCCTCCTCCTCTCCTCCTCCTCCTCCCCTCCCCCCTCCCCTGCTCCCCCCTCCCCCTGCTCCCCCTGCTCCCCCTGCTCCCCCTGCTCCCCCTGCTTCCCCCTGCTCCCCCTGCTCCCCCTGCTCCCCCTGCTCCCCCCCTGCTCCCCGCCTCCCCCTCCCGCCGTGCATCCTGCCTCGCCTCCGCCCACAGCTGCGGCGAAGGTTTCTGGTTGCTGCTCGAGCGTCGCGGTCAGGAGTAGTTTGCACACTGCTTCATCCCAATCCAATCCCCCCCTTCGTCCTCCTCCCCCTCCTCCCTCTCCTCCTCCTCCTCCTCCTCCTCCTCCTCCTCCTCCTCCTCCTCCTCCTCCTCCTCCTCCTCCTCCTCCGACTCCTCCTCCTCCTCCGACTCCTCCTCCTCCTCCTCCTCCTCGACAGTTGCAAGATATGAGCACTACCCTCCTCTCTCCCATAAATCTGTCCAGAAGGTCTTCAGCCTTCCCTCGCGTATTCTTTTTCACGCCCAGGATTGGGCGGAGTTGTTTTTGTTCATATGTTTTTGTTGTAATCCTACTGTTTTCGGTGTTCCATGGTGCTCCCGATGCAGCGTGGGCCCCATTTTCGGATCGGCGCTTTGCTCCCGTCGTTCAGAATGGCGCTCTTGAGTCAGCGCGGGCCTTTTTCGCTAGATCCGAGTCCTTCTTCATCGCAGTTGCCCCCCTTATTATTTCCCCTCTTCCGCTTTCCCCTGGTCCTCCTGCTCCTCCCAATCCTTCCACTCCAGTTTGTGCTACTCCCGTTCGTCCTCGCCCCTATCCTTCCTCATCCTCCCCCTTGTCGCCCTGCTCGTCCTCCTGCTCACCCGCCACCTTCTCCTCCTCCTCCTCCTCCTCCTCCACCTCCTCCTCCTCCTCCCCCTCCTCCTTCTCCCCTCTCTGCCCTATGTACGCAGCTCCGCAGTTCCCTTTTCCGATTGCTCACAACACGATGCGATCCTGTTCAGAGTTCCCGGCCGGCTATGGCGCGCGTGCGCGGACAGAGGCACAATCAGCGTGCCGGAAAGGGATAGGAGGGAAGAGAGGGCGCGAGCGCGCCTCGCTTGGGCCCCCCCCCTCTTCCGCCACCCGTTCCCCCTTCCTTCGGATGCAAATCCTGGGTGGTCAAATTCTGATTTAGCCCTGGTCCGAAATCCCGCTTAATCCCGCTTAATCCCGCTGAATCCCGCTTAATCCCGCTTAATCCGGCTTAATCCCGCTTAATCCCGCTTTATCTGGCTCAATCCCGCTTGATCCGAGGCCCATTCTGGCGTAACAGCCCCCCAATGGGGCTTCATCCTCCCCAATCCTTCCGACGAAAACCTCCCAGCAGTTGCCTCCTACCCCCCCCCACACTCCAGGGGCTCTTGGAAGTGCCAGGGGTTCTGCTCCGCCGCCGGCCTCCGTCTGGCGGGCGACGACGGCCACCCCGTCGACGTCGGCAAACGTGGCAGAATCCTTCGGTACTTGCCTTTCGCCACTCGCAAACATGCTCGGGAGCGTGGCCGGCTCGGCCGCCTCAGGTGGCCCGGCGTTGGCGTCGGAGGGCTCAGCTCCAGCTTGGCGAGCTCCTGCTGCAGCTGCTGCTGCTGCTGCTGCACTTCTGCCGCCGGCTGGCCGCCGCCGGCTGCTGCCGCCGCCGGCTGGCCGCCGCTCTCGGCTCCAGGCCGCCCTGCCGCAAGCGGCCGAGCGCCCGGGCACCCCTTCCGGGCAGGGGGCCTCTCCGTGTCGGCACGATGCGCTCGCGGTGGCGGGCAGAGGCTCCTCGTCGTCCTCCTTCTCCTCCTCCTCCTCCTCCCTCCTCCTCCTCCTCCTCCTCCTCCTCCTCCTCCTCCTCCCTCCTCTCCCTCCTCCTCCTCGTCCTCCTCCTCCTCCTCCCTCCTCCTCCCTCCTCCCCCTCCTCCTCCTCCTCCTCCTCCTTCTCCTCCTCCTTCTCCTCCTCCTCCTCCTCCTCCTCCTCAGTTCGCATGCGTCTCCCCCGCCCAGTACAGTGTCTCGTGGCCACAGAGGGAGGGAGCTCCACCTAAGGTCTCAGTGCCGCAGTTCGCATGCGTCTCCCCCACCCAGCACAGCATTTCGTAGCCCCATATGGAGCTCCACCTAAGGTCCAAGTGGCGCAGTTCGCATGCGTCTCCTCCACCCAGTACAGCGTTTCCTGGTCCCATCAGGGGCTCCTCCGAAGGTCCGAGTGGCGCAACTCGCAGGCGCCTCCCCCACCCAGTACAGCGTTTCCTTGTCCCATCAGGGAGCTCCACCGAAGGTTCCAGTGGCGCAGTTCGCATGCGTTTCCCCCACCCAGTAAAGCATTTAGTGGCCCCATAGAGAGCTCGACCGAGGGTTCCAGTGGCGCAGTTCGCATGCGTATTCTCCCACCCAGTAGAGCATCCGTGGCCCCAGAGGGAGATCCACCGAAGGTCCCAGTGGCGCAGTTCGCATGCGTCTCCCCCGCTCAGTACAACGATTCGTGGCCCCACCCGGAGCTCCACCGAAGGTCCCAGTGGCGCAGTTCGCATGCGTCTCCCCCGCCCAGTACAACGTTTAGTGGCCCCATAGGAAGCTACACCGAAGGTCCCAGTGTCGCAGGTAGCATGCGTTTCCCCCGCCCAGTACAGCGTTTCGTGGCCCCATATGGAGCTCCACCGAAGGTTCCAGTGGCGCAGTGTGCATGCCTCGCCCCTACTCAGCACAGCGTTTCCTGGTCCCACAGGGAGCTCCACCGAAGGTCCCAGTGGCGCAGTTCGCGCGCGTCTCCCCCGCCCAGTACAGTGTCTCGTGGTCAAAGAGGGAGGGAGCTCCACCGAAGGTCCCAGTGGCGCAGTTCGCATGCGTCTCCCCCACCCAGTACAGTGTCTCGTGGCCCCAGAGGGACTTCCACCGTAGGTCCCAATGGCGCAGCTTGAATACGTCTCCCCCACATAGTATAGCGTTTCGTGGCCCCATAGGGAGTTTTACCGAGGGCGATACCCACAACTGCGGCACTCACAACTGCATGTGGTTAGGTCTTTCGCCAGGCAAATTGTCTCTATTTCCCCCTCCATCTCTTCCCCCTTGTCCCCCTCCCGTTCCCTCCTTCTCCTTGTCCTTGCCCCCCCTTTTCCTCCCGTTCCCTCGCCCCCGTCCCCTTTTTTTCTCCTCCTCCTGATCCTCTATCTCATCTTTTTCTTCCTCCTCCTCTTTCTCCTCTCCTTCCCCCTCCTTATCGCTTCCTCCCCTTTCTTCCCTACGGTGATGGTGGTGATGATGATGCTGATGATGCTGCTGATGATGGTGGTGATGCTGACGATCATTATGATGATGATGATGAAGCTGATGATGATGATGATGATAAAGCTACTGTTGCTGATGATGATGATGGTGATGCCTGTAACGAAAACGATGATGCTGCTGACGATGCTGGTGATGATTCTGATGATGATGCTGATGCTGATACTGGTGGTGATGCTGATGCTGATGGTTATGCTTGTTGTGGTTGTGGCGGTGATGGTGGTCACGATGATGATGCTGCTGCTGCTGATGATGATGATGGTGATGCTGATGATGCTGGCGATCATCATGACCATTGACGATGCTGATGCTGATGATGCTGATGACGGTGATGAAGCTGATACTGATGACGACGATGATGTTCATGATGGTGATGTTGCTGATGATGATGGTGATGCTAAGGTTGTTGATGATGATGGTGACGATGATGCTGATGCTGATGCAGATGATGCTGATGCTGATGATGATTCTGAGGATGTTGATGCTTATGGTGATGCTGATGCTGATGATGCTGGTAATCATGATGATGATGCGGATACTGGTGATGACACTGGTGGTTGTGTTGATGGCGATGACGATGTTGGTTATGGTAGTGGTGGTGGTGGTGGTCGAGATGATAATGCTGTTGCTGACGATGTTGACGATGCTGAGGCGGCTGATGATGCTGATGCTGATGCTTATGATAATGATGCTGCTGCGGATACTGATGAGGCTTGTGCTGATGGTGATGATGATGATATTGCTAATGATGATGCTGCTGCTGACGATGGTGATACTTTTGATGCTCTTGGTGATGCTGATGATGATGCTGATGATGATGATGATGAGGATGCTGCTGATTGGCGATGGTATTGGTGATGTTGACGGTGATGAAGCTGACGATGATGACGACCATGCTGCTGCTGGTGATGATGATCTTGATGATAGGCTGATGCTCCTGCTGCTGCCGATGATGATGATGATTGTGGTTTTGGTGATGATGACGATGCTGAGTATGCTGGTGGCGGTGATGATGATGATGCTGATGACCACGATGACGCTGATGACTGTCGTGAGGATGCTGCTGCTGATGATGATGAGGATGCTGATGCTGATGATGATGATGATGCTGATGAGGATGCTGATGATGAGGATGATGATGATGCGGATGTTGATAATGCTGCTGATGATGATGACGACGATGATGATGGTGATGATGATGATGCTGATGATGCTGCTGATGATGGTGGTGATGCTGACGATCATTATGATGATGATGAAGCTGATGATGATGATGATGATGATGATGATGATGATGATGATGATGATAAAGCTGCTGTTGCTGATGATGATGATGGTGATGCCTGTAACGAAAACGATGATGCTGCTGACGATGCTGGTGATGATTCTGATGAGGATGATGATGATGAGGATGATGATGATGCGGATGTTGATAATGCTGCTGATGATGATGACGACGATGATGATGGTGATGATGATGATGATGATGATGATGATGGTGATGCGGTTGATGTTGATGACGCTGCTGCTGATTATTACGACGATTATGGCGATTATGGTGGTGGTGCTGTTGATTCTGATTCTGCTGGTGGTGCTGATGCGGCTACTGCTGATGATTCTTCGGCTGCTGCCGATCAAATGAGGATGAAGATTCTGGTGCTGCTGCTGCTGATGATGATGACGATGCGGATGCTGATGCTGATAATGATGCTGCTGCTGAGGATGTTAATGATGCTGATGATGATGCTGATGATGATGCTGATGGTGACGATGAGGATGCTGATGGTGCTGATGATGATGCTGATGGTCATCGATGTCGACAACCATGACGCTGGCGATGCTGCCGATGATGATGGTAATGCTGTGGCTGATGATGGGGGACTGCTAATCCTGATGGTGATGGTGGTGTTGCTGGTGTATGGAGATGGGGATGGTGCTGGGGATGAATGGGGCGATGACGATGCTGATGATGATGATGCTGTTGCTGATGATGACGGTGGCGATGATGATAGTCATGCTGCTGATTCTGATGCTGCTGCTGCTGATGATGCTGCTGATGATGATAATGATGATGATGATGATGATGATGATGATGCCGTTGATGCTGATGATACTGATGATGCTGCTGATGATGGCGATGCTGCTGATTATGCTGATGCTGATGCTGGTGATGATGATGCTGCTGCTGCTGCTGCTGATGATGATGATGATGATGATGATGATAGTGATGATGATGATGATGATGATGATGATGATGATGATGATGATGATGATGATGATGATGATGATGATGATGATGGTGATACTGATGATGACGTTGTTGTGGAGGGTGTCGATACAGTGCTGCTGCTCATGACGATGATGCTGTGGTTGATGATGCTTCCGATGATACTGAGGAGGGGGATGAGGATGAGGAGGAGGAGGAGGATGGCCTCGGCGGTGGTCGTGGTGATGGTGATGGTGATGGTGATGGTGAGGCGGGGAAGGAGGAGACGGAAGAGGAGGAGGAACGCGATAACGGCGAGGGCGTGTATGAGTTGCATGATAAGGACAACAAGGAGGAGGGGGATGTGGAGGAGGTGGCGAATGTAGGAGACGGAGGAGGAATAGGAGGAGGAGGAGGAGGAGGAGGAGGAGGAGGAGGAGACGGAGGAGGAACAGCAGCACGAGGAGGAGGGAGGGCGAGTAGAAATAGCGAGGGGAAGGAGGATAATGATGATGATGATGCTGATGATGATGATGATGAGGAGGAGGAGGAGGAGGAGGCGGAGGATTGTTCCATGTGTATCCTCAGGGAGCGACCGGACCTCCCACACAACAGCCCTCACTGGAACGGGGTCTGGTCAACGAGGACGACGAGGACGATGATCATGATGCGGATGGTGATGAGGAGGACAGGGATGATGATTTCGAGACGTATTATGAGACCGACCACGATGCCGAGGAAAAGCAGGAGGATCCTGATGATGATGATGAGGAGGAGGAGGAGGAAGACGAGGGTGAGGAGGAAGGGGAGGATGATACTGAGGAGGCGCAGGAGGACGACGACGAGATGGACGATCAGGCGGACAAGGCGGAGGAGGAGGAGGAGGCCGCAGATGAACAGTGCTCAGATTGATGGTGATGTTGTTGATGCTGCTGCTGATGATGACGATGCTGCTGCTGGTGGTGATGCCGATGATGATGATGATGACGATGATGATGATGATGATGATGATGATGCTGATGATGAGGATGAGGATGAGGATGAGGATGAGGATGAGGATGATGATGATGAGGATGGTGATGACGATGAGTTCAATGGCCTGTGGAGCAAGCAGCACTTTTCTGGCTGGATCGCCTCCTGCATCTCCCTCACGACTTAGGCGAGGGGCAGAGGGGGCTTCAAATTTGCAGCGGAATCCGTACGTCCCTTGTGGAATTGATCTGCAAGGACGTTCTGTAACTGCCAGGATCTACCATTGTGCAGACACGCTTCTGAGCAATCCATCTGGCAGCCGCTGGAGCTGGACTCGCCGAAGGTGCCGCATCAGCGGCATACCAAAATGCTGCAGGGGATCGAGTCGTCGGCATATCCGAAGAAGTCAATACGGTGCCCTCCGGGGTGGGTCGCTGAACCCGAGTGATGCTCAGAGAGGCGGCGCTGAGTGCCACAGCCTGCTCTGACGGCTGCACACATCCAACGCTGACTGTGCTTAGTCCACCGATGGACCCTCCCGGGTCGCTCCTCAGAGGTCAGAGGAGCCTGCCTCTGAGGAGGGGGTGCTTCGATTCCCCAGGGGGGCCCTGCTGCTGCTGATGCTGCTGCTGCTGCCCCTGTGGGCGGACTTGATATTTGTCGGGCTTATCCAAGCCTTTCCTGCCCGCGGCAGGGGCTACCGTGGGCCACAACCGCAGAGCTTCGGCTACATAGCGCAGGTACTTGGTGGAAAGTTTGCCCTTTCTGTCGGCCTTCGCAACCTCGGCATTGCTGGGCGCTCCCTTCTGGCCTGGCCGGCTTCAACTTTGGCCATTCTGTCGGCAGCATCATTGCCCGTGGCATGCTATCATATTGGGCTACCCTGCTCGAGGCTGTTATTATCCACATGAGCTGTTGGCTCAGTGGGTCCTGCGGCCTATCGGGGCGCTGGCTGCCCCCGCGAGCACCTGTAAGGCGCATTCGAATTCGGTCCGAACAGAGCGTGACTTCCTACGGAGGTCAATGGCTCCCTGGTAATCTGCATCATTCTGGGCACCGGGATCGCAGTGGAGGCCGGCAGCAAGCAAGGCACAGTGCTCGGCAGGGGGAGAGGTGGAGGAGGAGGAGGAGGAGGAGGAGGAGGAGGAGGAGGAGGAGAAGGAAGAGGACGAGGTGGAGGAGGAGGAGAAGGAGGAGGGAGGAGGAGGAGGAGGAGGAGGAGAAGGAAGAGGACGAGGTGGAGGAGGAGGAGGAGGAGGAGGAGGAGGAGGAGGTCCCAGCTCGCCCAGTCATACATGCGAGACCGTATCCATGGCTGTCGAGGGCCGCCACAGCCCACCCCGCGAGACTGTGGACCTTTCCGCTCCCCTAGGCTTGAGGCACCAGTCGTCAGCGTACGCGTCAGGGTGCCGTCCTGACACCAACACTTGTCAGCGAGCGAAGAACGTTATAACATAACATTTCCGCCGTCGGAGACACCTGCCCCTGGGCGGCTGGAAAGTTTATACCCCTACGGTGCCACCGTAAGGGTATACACTTTCCAGCCGCCCAGGGACAGGCGCCCCCGACAGCGAAAAAGTTTATGTCATACCATTCTTCGCCCGTTAAACTTGGGCTGCTCATGCCCATATCCTGCCGGCGTCCTGTTGCAATAGTCTGGGCAGAACTGGCAGCCAAGTCTCAGCAGCGAGACCTTGATGTCCTCTAGCTGAGCAAGCTCGATGTCAGTGAAGCTCTCTCGCAGCGGGGCTGATTTGGGAGACTCCAGCAGCCTATGAGCGAAGCGGGTTCATGGAGTTGGCCGAGAGGGACGACGATGCAGACGATGCTGACACTGATGATGATGATGATGATGATGCTGATGATGATGATGATGATGATGATGATGATGATGATGATGATGATTATGATGGTGATGATGACGATTATGGTGGTGTTGATGAGGATGCTGATGATTATCACGATACTGATGATGCTGATGATGCTGATGATGATGAAGTCGATGCTTACGATGATGATTATGATGATGCTTGTGGTTATGATGATGATGGGTGATGCTGGTTATCGTGATAAAGATGAGGATGGTGAGGATGGTGATGGTATGACGATGGTGATGACGACGATGACGATGATGCTGATGATGCTGCTGATGGTGATGGTGAAGATGACGATGATGGTGATGATGATGCTGCTGATGACGATAATTATGATGCTGATGACGACGACGATGACGATGATGATGCTGCAGATGGTGATGATTATGATGATGATGATGATGATGATGATGATGATGATGATGATGATGATGATGATGCTGATGATGATGATGATGATGATGATGCTGATGATGATGATGATGATGATGATGATGATGATGATGACGATGCTGATGATGCTGATGATGATTCGCATGAGGATCAGGAGAAGGAGAAGGAGGAGGAGAAGGAGGAGAGGAGGAGGAGTAGGAGGACGGGGTTGAGGAGGGGATTGAGGAATAGGTCGAGGAGGATGAGGACGCGGAGCAGGAGGACCAGGAGAAGGAGATCGAGCAGGAGGATTTCAAAGAGGGCTGCGAGGGGCAGAGGGAAGATTAGGCCGAGGCTTGGCAGTTGGGGGGGGGAGGAGGAGGCCGATGATGAGGAGGGGGAGGAAGTGGAGTGGGATGATGATGATGCTGTTGATGATGTTCGTGCTACTGATGGTGATGGTGTTGATGATGATACTGATGATGATGACGATGGTTATGCTGACGATGCTGATGATGCTGCTGCTGATGATGATGATGCTGATGGTGCTGTCGACGATTTTGCTGACGATGGCGATGCCGATGCCGCTAGTGACACCGACGACGAGGATCAGGATGATGAGGTTGGCGATATTGCTGCTGTTGGGGATGTCGGTGATGTTCACCATGTTCATTACGATGATGGTACTGGCTTATCGGATGATCATGCTGCTGCTAATGGTAACGACGCTGATGGTGATTCTGTTTAAGGTGGTGGTGATGATGCTGATGCGAATCTGGATGGTGCTTGTGATGATGACAGAAACGCCGCCGATGTCGATGCCGATGTCGCAGACGGCGCCGTTGATCTGATGATGCTGCTTATGACGATAATGATGGTGATGACGATGCTGATGACGATCGATAAAGTGTTTATTTCGCTAATCATGAGGTTGAAGATGCTGATGCTGATGCTTCAGATGATGATGATGATGATGCCGATGCTGATGCTGATGCGGCTGCTGCAGATGATGCTGATGTTGGTGATGGTGATGCTGTTGATGATGATGCTGGTGATGAGGCTGTCGGCGCTGATGATGATGCCGTTATTTTGGCGATGGGGATGGTTATGAGCGTACTGCGGACGACTAAGGTGGTGATGTTGCCGATGCTGGCGACGACGATGCTGACATCGAGGTTGATGTGTTTGTTGATGATGTTGGCGATTGCGGTGATGCTGGTGATGCTGGTGATGCTGGTGATGCTGCTGCTGATGATGATGCTGATGGTGTTGTTGGCGATGCGGCTGCTGCTCATACTGTTGTTGATGATGCTGGCGATGTTGGTGAGGCGGATGATGGTGACGCCGATGATGCTGACGTTGCTGCTGCTGCTGGTGAGGATGATGATGATGCTGATCATGAAGAGGATGCTGATGATGATGACGATGATAAAGATGATGATGTTACTGACGATGCCGATGATGGTGAGGGTAACGCCGTGGAGAAGGAGGGTGCGGCGGAGGTGGACGCTGATGCTGAGGAGGGATTTGCACAGTATGGAGGATGTGAAGGTCGAGGACGTTGAGGGAGACGAGGATGCCAATGGCGGCGACGAGGGAGAGTATGAAGATGTTGATGGAGATGCTGATGTTGATGATGATGATGATGTTGATGCTGATGATGATGATACTGACGATGCTGATGGTTCTGCTGATGATGCTGTTGCTGACGCTGCTGATGCTGACGATACTGGTATGCTGGTTATGACGACGATGATGACGACAGCGGTGAGGATATGATGATGCTGATGCTGATGATGATGCTGGTGTTGATGATGCTGGTGCTGATTATGTTGCTGGCGAGGCTGCTGATGAGGTTGATGATGGTGCTGCCGCTGCTGATGATGGTGCTGATGATGCTGATAATGATGATGATGATGCTGATGATGATGCTGATGATGATGATGATGATGATGGCGATCCTGCGATGCTGCTGATGCTGATGCTGATGATGATGATGATGATGATGATGATGACCATGTTCTTGATGACGGTGGTGATGCTGCTGCTGACGATACTGTTTATGAGCTTAATGTGGAGGGAGGATGATGATGAGGAGGGGGGGAAGGAGGAGAAGGAGGAGGAGAAGGCGGATCAGGAGGATGAGGCGGTCGAGGTGGGCGATGAGGAGGCCGAGGCTGACGATGCGGCGGTCGAGGTGGGCGAAGAGGAGGCCGAGTACGAGGAGGAGGTCAACGACAAGGCAACGGATGACGAGGAGGGAGATGCGGAGCTGGTGACGGAGGGCGAGGTTGAGGAGGGTGAGGAGGGGAAGGGGGCGAAGGAGGAGGACGAGGAGGAGGACGAGGAGGAGGAGAAGGAGACGGCGAAGGAGGAGGAGGCGGAGGAGGAGGATGAGGAGGATAATGATGAGGACGCCCAGGAGGATGAGGATGAGGCAGAGGCGGATGAGGTGGAGGAGACGGGGCAGGCGTTGAAGGATGTGCAGAAGAAATGCTTCAGGTTCTGGTTATGATGTAAGTGCTGATGATGCTGAGGCTGCTGCTGATGCTTGCATTATGCTCATGCGACTGCTGCTGCTGATGATGCTACTGACCATGATGTTGATGTTGATTCTGACGATGCTGCTGCTGATGATGCTGTTGTTGCTGATGCTGGTAATCACCATACTCGTAACCATGATGATGCTGATGCTGACGATGGTGATGCTCCTGGCGATGATGCTTGTGATAATGATGGTGCTGGTGATGACGATGCTGATGCTGTTTATGTCGATGGTGATGACGATGATGATGACGATGCTGCTGTTGATGATGATGATGAGGATGGCGATGAGGGTAGCGATGATGAGGATGATGATGGTGATCGTGATGCCGGTGATGCTGATGAGGGTGACGATGCTGCTTATGCTGATGATGCCGATTATGGTGATGTCGATGGTACTGATGAGGATGATGCTGCTGCTGATGATGCTGATGTTGCTGATGATGCTGATGATGCTGATGCTGACTCTGATGATGCTGATGATGATGCTGCTGACGATGACGATGATAGTTATTGTGATGATGCTGGTGATGGTGATGATGCTGGTGCTGATGATGCTGATGATGATGCTGCTGATGATGGTGATGATGATGCTGATGATGACGGTGGTGGTTTTGGTGGAGGTGGTGGTGGTGGTGGCGGTGCTGGCGATGATGATGAGGAGGTGGATGCGGGGGAGGAGCAAGATGAGGAGGATAAGGAGGATGATAAGGTAGGGAAAGAGGAAGAGGATGGGGAGGAGGAGGAGGAGGAGGAGGAGGAGGAGGAGGTGGGTGAGGAGGGGTGGACAGGATGAGGGAGGGATGAGGAGGAGAGAGGAGGAGGAGAGGAGGAGGAGGAGGAGGATGAGGAGGAGGAGGAGGAGGAGGAGGAGGAGGAGGATGAGGATGAGGACGGAGGAGGAGGAGGAGAGGAGGAGGAGGAGGAGGAGGAGGAATGCGAGGAATGCGAGGAGCGCGAGCGGAGGAGGAGGAGGAGGAGGAGGAGGAGGAGGAGGAGGAGGAGAAGGAGGAGGAGGAACATGAGGAGGAGGAGGAGGAGGAGGAGGAGGAGGAGGAGAAGGAGGAGGAGGAGGAATGCGAGGAATGCGAGGGATGCGATCGAAACGACGCTCCAGTCGAAGACGGGGGCCCGCGGCCCAGCTTGCGGTGCAGCGCCTCCAATTGTTCAGCTGCCGTCGAAGCACAGAGTCTTGACGCTTCGCGTACCCCCTACCAGCCCATCCAACACCGACGCCCAGGCGAGTGGAGACGATCCGGGGCGAGTAGGAGCAAAGAGGGGGACAGCCGTCATCGCTCGAGGGAGGAGGAGGATGCAATGGATGATCACTTTGCTGATGAGGGGGGGCAGGAGGAGGGGGAGGAGGAGGAGGATGATGATGAGGAGAAGGAGGAGGAGGGCGAGCAGTATGATTAGACGCTTCTTGGATGCCTCTCGGCGTCTCTCATGGTTTATCTTGAGCGCTTGCACTCTCCTGTGATCGCCCTGGGAGCGTTGTGGCGGTTCCGAGAAATTCTTGGGGCGTCTTGGATGCATCTCGGACGCTCGTTGGGGCATTTTTGGGGGCCTCTTGTAAGCATCATTGGACTTGATTTTGGGTCTCTTGCGGGCTCGTTGGGGTTTCTTGGGCGCTTCGTCCTACTCCCTCCTTTCACTTCCTTCCTCGACCTAGATGGCCAACCTGCAACTCGGCAAATCGCGTCCCACAGGTCGCGTACCATCACCGACAAGTCGCGTACCACAGGTCGCGTACCCTGAGACAGACGGTCGCGTACCACAAGTCGCGTACCATCACCAGGCATGTCGCGTACCATAGCTTGTGGGTCTTTTGGGAGCTATTGGCGGTCTCTTGGGCGCCTCTTGGGGCCGTCTGGGCGCCTCTTGGGGCCCTTTTGGGGCGCTCTTGGGAGCTTGCGGTGCGCTCTTTAGGCCATCTTGGAGGACATCGATCAAACAAGATGGGAGCTTCAATTCGACTTCCCCCTCGGGAGCCCCAACCATCGCCTCTTGGGGCGCTCTTGGGGCGCTCTTGGGTCGCTCATGGGCGCTCTTGGGGCCGCCTTGGGGCTCGCTTGAGCCTCTCTTGGGGCCCTCTTGGGCCATCTTGGAGCCATCTTGCGGCCTCGGATGGCCATCGGAAGCGAACAGGCGAGAAAGAAGACCGCCTTGCTTTTCCTCAGGTGTTTGAAGGGTGTTGGCCTCTTTGGGGCCTCCTTGGGAAGCTCTTTGGCCACTTGGAGCCGTCTTGGAGCGTTCTTGGGGCCTCTTGGAGCATTTTTGGAGCCATCTTGAGGTATCTTGGGCTATCTTGCGCCATCTTGGAGGTCATCTTGGGCTCTTCGAGGCCCTCTTGGAGCCGTCTTGGGTCATCTTTGACGCTCCAACTACCCGCGGACCCCCCTGTCCAGGTCCAGGGGACGGGGTAGGGGGAGGGGTCAAGGCACCCTCCTAGATAGCAAGCCGTCTATCTCACTCCCACCCGCCCTCCCAACACACACACACACACAGTAGCACCCGAGCCTCAGCTCAGCATGTACAGCGGTCGTCTTTGGATGGCCAGCCACTGGGAACCAAAACCGAGCCCATGTGCGCGACGCTGGGGCGAGGTGCGGCACGCGTGCCAAGCGCGCCACGCGCGCCAGGCACCCCTGGGGCCCGAGCGTGCCTCCGCGTGCGCCAGGTGTGCCACATGCTCCAGGCGTGCCATGTGTGCCACTTTCGGGGCACGTGCAGAGTGTGTCAGGTGCGCCTGCGCACGTGACAGCACATCGGGAGACATGTCGGCCCCCACTATCCATGTCGAAAACCAATGCCCATCGTTGTATCTGGCGGGCCTGCGCACAGCAGTCCATACACCTCCACTTGACAGTGATCGCGAGGTGGCCGCGCATGATCCAGATTTAGCCGCGAGGTGCATTTTGTATTGTTTGTGTTTCAGGGTTGGTAGCACTGCGCGCAGCAAGCAACATGCTGACACCCCCACCGTCCTTGTCAAAACAACAAAACAAAGTGCCCTGCGGGCCTCAAGAACACGAAGACTTTGCCCCATATTGTACTTTGTATGTTTTTTTGTTGCAGGGATGGTGGGGGGCGCCCTCATGGGGTCTTCGCTGTTCCTGGTTGGATGCCGGTCGCCTGGGGGAGGGGGTGTGTATTGATGGGGAACAGTGTTAAACCCCTCCCCGCAGGGGAAGAAGGGGGTCGGAAGGGGGAGCTCCCTGGACCACCTACGCCCAGAGGGCTGCTGGGATTGCCGGGGGAGCAGAAGCAGGGCGCCGCCTCCGCGACCACGAACACGCCGAAGACGCCCCTCGCGTCCCTGCGGCCCCCCCCAGGAGCTCTCTACCGAGGGTGGGGAGGTGGGGTACTGACCCCCCGAAGAGGCTTACTCACCCTGCTCCCCACGAGGAGCTCTCAGCGGCACTGGCCACCCGACGGGGCGTGCCCACGCTGGTGACGCTGGCCCTCCGCGTAGAGCAGCTCCAGGAAGACGAACGGCAGGCAGACGACCCAGGACAGGCTGGGCAAGCCGAGCATGGCACTTCAAGGAGCACGCCTGCGAGGGCCCAGCACACCAGGCCGAGGAAGGGCTTGCAGACCCGCAGGCTCCATGACGGCCTCGGACGCTGAGGGCCTCTGCGGGGCGACCGCCCACACGACTCTGCGCCCGCTGCGTCGTGAACCGCGCTGGTTCCTCTGGCCCCAGCGGCTGCCGAGGCTGGGCCAGCGGGAGTGGAGCAGCACGGGTTTGGCCGCGCGACGCGCGGCGCCGCAAGCTGCGCGGGCCCGGAGTGGGCGCCCGCGACGGCCCGCTGCTCCTCCATGCCCTGCTTCACCTCCACGCCGAGCCCGTCGGGCGCCGCCCCGCCTGCGAAGGCGCGGCTGCACCAGCAGCCACAGCCCCAGCCGTCGCCTCCTCCATTGACACCTCGCGCAGCGGGGGCGCGGCGCACGACACCGCCCCTCGCGGCGCCTTCAGCGTCTGCAGCTCCGCCTCGATGTCCGCGTCGTAGTCCGGGCTGCGCGAGCGGCAGAGATGCCTCCGACTGCGCCGCCACCAGGTCGCTCGGGGTCTCCGCAGAGCCCGCTGGCATGGGCGCCTGCGCCGAAGCGCCGCGTTCACCTCCAGCATCGGCAGTGCGATCGTCGTGGGGCACGGGCGGAGCGGTGGGCTCGTTGGCGCTGGCTGGCCACCGAGCACGACATTCAATCCTGGCTGGCACCAGGAGGAGGAGGAGGAGAAGGAGGAGAAGGAGGAGGAAATCGAGGAGGAGGAGGATGAGGAAGAGGACGAGGACAAGGAGCACAAGGAGGAGGAGGAAGAGGAGGAGGAGGATGAGGAGGACGAGGACGAGAACGATGATGATGATGGTGGTGATGATGATGATGATGATGATGCTGATGATGACGATGATGATGATGATGCTGATGCTGACGATGATGATGGTGATGATGATGATGATGGTGATGATGATGAGGAAGAGGAGGGCGAGGAAGAGTCGAGGAGGATGATGACGAACAGGAGGGGGACAGAGGATTAGGAAGAGCATGATGAGTGTCATGCTCTTGATGATTGTGCCGCTGCTGATGATGTCGATGTTGCTGCTGCTTAGGCTGCTGTCGATGCTGCTGATGGTGATGATACTCATGTGGCGGATCTAGTAGATGATGCTGATACTGGGGATGAGGTGGGTAATTACTGTCGATGATGAGGAGGAGGACGATTATGATGCCGATCACGATGACGACGGTGCGGATGATGCTGCTGATGTCGGACATGGTGATTTCGTTGATGATGATTATGATGCATCTGCTGATGCCGATGCTGCTAATGACGATGCTGATGCTGATGCCGATGCTGCGAATGCTGCTGCTGATGACGATGGTGATCTTGATTCCCCAATCAGAGCTTGCCTCTGTAGAGGTCCTAGCGGGTTCATTCCCCAAGCAGGGCTTGCCTCTGTAGGAGTCCTAGCGGATTCATATGGTTTCGGTGAGGTTTGCCACCGATTTCCGCGGCCCGCCTGGGTGCCCGGGTGCCCAGGTGCCCGGGTGCCCAGATGCCCGGGTGCCCAGGTGGCCGGGTGCCTTATAGCCCTATAGCCCTATAGTTCTATGGCCCTATATCCCTATAGCCCTATAGCCCTATGGTTGTCCTATAGCCCTATAGCCCCACAGCCCTATAGACTTATAGCCCTATGGCCCTATAGCCCTATAGCCCTATAGCCCAGTAGCCCTAGAGCCCTATAGCCCTATAGCCTTATAACCTTATAGCTCTATAGCCCTATCGCCCTAGAGCCTCATAGCTCTATAGCCCTATAACCCTGTAGCCCTACAGCTCTATAGCCATATAGCCCCATAGCCCTGTAGCCCTATAGCCCTATAGCCCAGTAGCCCAATAGCCTCATAGCCCTATAGCCCTATAGCCCTATAGCCCAACAGCCCAATAGCCCAATAGCCCTATAGCCCCATATTCCTACAGCCCTATAGCCCTATAGCCCTATAGCCTTATAGCCCTATAGCCCTATAGCCCTTTAACCCTATAGCCCCATAGCCCTATCTCCCTACAGCCCTATGGTCTCAGAGCCCTATGGCCCCTTAGCCCTATCGACTCATAGCCCTATGGCCCTATAGCCCCATAGCCCCATAGTCCCATAACCCCATAGCCCCATAGCCCTATAGCCCGACAGCCCTATAGCCATATGGCTCTATAGCCTTATAGCCTATAGCCCTATAGACATAGCCCTATGGCCCTATAGCCCTACAGCCCCATAGCCCTCTCGCCCTATACCCCTAAAACCCTACAACCCTGTAGCCCTATAGAGTTCTAGCCTCATAGCCCTACAGCCCTATGGCCCTACAACCCAATAGCCCTATCGCCCTATAGCTCTTTATGCCTATAGCCCTATATCCCTATAGCCCAGTAGCCCTATATCCTATATCACTATAGCCCTATGGTCCTATAGCCCTATAGCCCTATAGCCCTACAGACTCATAGCCCAGTGAACCTACGATCCTATAGCCCCATGGCCCCATAGCCCCATAGCCCTATAGCCCTACAGCCCTATAGCCCTATAGCTATATATCCCCATATCCCTATAGCCCCATAGCCCTTATCCCTATATCCCTAAAGCCCTATTGTCCTATATCCCAATCGCCCCATAGCCCTATAGACTCATAGCCCTATGGCCCTACAACCCTATAGCCCCAGCGCCCCATAGCCCCATATTCCTATAGCCATACAGCCCTATAGCCCTATAGCCCTATAGACCTATAGACCTATAGAGCTACGGCCATGTAGCCCTATAGTTCCATAGCTCTATAGCCCCATACTTCCATAGCCCTATCGCCCAATAGCTCCATAGCCCTATAGCCCGAAACATACTTTGATTGGGGTTGTTCTCCGGTATTCTGCTTTTGTTACTGCTGCTGCTGATTATGATGATGCTTGTGATAGAATGCGGATGGTTATGATGATGCCGATGCTGATGCTACTGGTAGTTCTGATGATGGCGGTGAGGATTATGATGCTGATCATGATCATGATAATGATGGTGATGATGCTGCTGATGATGCTGATGATATTGGTGGTGGTGGTGGTCGTGATGAGGTTGATGAGAATGAAGACGATGACAATGATGCATCCGATGATGCGGATGATGTTGATGATGTCTATCATGCTGCTACGGTTGATGGTGAAGCTGATGGTGATACCGATGATGATGATGATGATGATGATGATGATGATGATGATGATGATGATGCTGATAATGCTGATGATGGTGCTGATGATGATTCTGCTGATGATGATGATGGTGATGCTGACGACGTTGATGCTGATGCTGATGATGAGTGCTGCTGCTGGTGATGATGGTGATGATGATTGTGATGATGATGATGATGATGATGATGATGATGATGATGATGATGATGGTGATGATGCTGATTATGACGATGATGCTGATGATGATGATGATGATGAGGATGATGATGTTGATGATGATGATGAGGATGATGCTGATGATGATGATGATGATGATGATGATGATGATGATGATGATGATCATGATGATCATGGTGATGATGCTGATGCTGACGATGCTGATGATGATGTTTCATTGGCTTACGCCACACCGCCGACCCCTGGGGGGCGGCAGCAATCGTCCCCCCCCGTGGCCTGTCCAGACAGCCTGTGAGGCCCCTAGACACGTTTGGGAGTCCTCTTGGGACCGTCCTGCCGTTCCCCCGGGCCGTTGCTATGGTTCCTTGGGCCTTCGTGGGGCGCCCGGAGGCCGTCGTGGAGCCTTTTGGAGAGTCTCTTGGGGTGCCAGAGGTCGATCTTGGAGGTTTACTGGGCCGTTGTGGGCCTCGTGGAAGCCCAAGAAGCGAATATGCTGCAAATGTACGGTTTCCCCAGGGAATGGGACGGTTTTTGCTTCTGGAGGCCTGCTCGGAGCGCCTCGTGGTCGCGTATGCAAACGTCTTGGACGCCCATGGGGCTGTCTGGAGGCAATCGTGGGCGGTTTGGACCGAATCGTCCCCCGCGTGGGCCGTCCAGACAGCCTTTGGGAGCCCTCTTGGCCCGTTTTGGAGCCCTCTTGGGACCGTCCTGCGGCTTTCCTAAGCCGTTGCTATGGTTTCTGGAGCCTTCGTGGATCGCCCGGAAGCCGTCTTGGAGCCTGCTTGGGAGCCTCTTCGGGTGACAGGGGTCGATCTTGGAGGTTTATTGGGCCGTTGTGGGCCTCGTGAAAGCCCAAGAAGCGAATGTGCTGAACATGTACGTTTTACCTTGGGAATGGGACGGTTTTTGCTTGTGGAGGCCTTCTTGGAGCGCCTCGTGGTCGCGTATGCAAACGTCTTGGACACCCATGGGGTTGTCTGGCGACGATCTTGGGCGGTTTGGACCGAATCGTCCCCCGCGTGGGCCGTCCAGACAGCCTTTGGGGGCCCTCTTGCCTCTTGCCCCGTTTTGGAGCCCTCTTGGGACCGTCCTGCGGCTTTCCTAAGCCGTTGCTATGGTTTCTGGGGCCTTCGTGGATCGCCCGGAAGCCGTCTTGGAGCCTTTCGATGTTGGAGGCTTCTTGGGCTGTTTTGCGCCGCGTGGAAGCTGAATGGGCGAATGTGGTGAAAATGTACCTTTTCCTGACGGAATGGGACGGTTTTTGCTTCTGGAGGGCCTCTTTGGGGCACCTCGTAATATTGTTTCAAACGTCTTGGGGACTTCTGGAGCCGTGTGGAGGCAATCTTCGGCGTTTTGGGGCGATCTTTCGTCGATTCGTAGCTCTCTTGGACCGTTCTGGGAACCTTTGGAACCTTTTTGGCCCGTTTTGGGGCCTCCTGAGGCTCCAAGCGTGCGGATGGTGGATTTACCCCCCATCCGGCCGGACCAGGCCCCCGGGGGAGGGGTTTGGGGAGGGGGAAGCATCTCACACGCCGTGACCCCAAGGGGTCGGCGGATTATGCTGATTCTGCTGATTATGCTGTTGTTGATGATGCTGCTGATGATGATGTTAATGCTGATGATGCTGATGATAATTATGATGCTGATGCTGCTGATGAGGACGATGCTGATGACGATGCTGATGATGCGGATGATGGTGCTGCTGATGACGATGATGGTGATGATGATGATGATGATGATGATAATGCTGATGATGATGATGATGATGATGATGATGATGATGATGATGATGATGATGATGATGATGAGGATGCTGCTGCTGCTGCTGCTGCTGATGATGATGATGATGATGATGATGATGATGATGATGATGATGATGATGATGATGATGATGATGATGATACTGATGATGTGGAGGCGGAGGAGGAGGCGGAGAGAGGAGGAGGATAAGGATGAGGCGAAGGAGCCAGAAGAGAATGAGGATTATGAGGAGAGGAGGAGGTGGAGGAGGAGGAGGAGGAGGAGGAGGAGGAGGAGGAGGAGGAGGAGGAGGAGCAGGAGCAGGAGCAGGAGCAGGAGCAGGAGCAGGAGCAGGAGCAGGAGCAGGGGGCGGAGGAGGAGAAGGAGGATAAGGAGGAGGATCCGCCCCGAAGGCTGGGGCCTAACCCCCATGTCGCGCGGCGCTGCGGCGGTGGCAGCCGCGTTGGCCCCGCTGCTCGCGGCGCTCGCCCTGTGCCCGAGCCTGACGGCGGCTCGAGGCTTCCCGAGCCTGGCGACGGCGGCGACTGACGGCGACGAGGGAGGAAGGAGGGAGGAGGTGGAGGAGGAGGAGGAGGGAGGAAGGAGGAGGAGGAGGAGGAGAGAAGGCGGCGGTGGAGAAGGCAAACAAGTGAAGGAGAAGGAGGAGGAGGAGGAGGAGGAGGAGGAGGAGGGAGGAGAGGAGGAGGAGGAGGAGGAGGAGGAGGAGGAGGAGGAGGAGGACGAGGAGGGGAGGAGAGGAGGAGGAGGAGGAGGAGGAGGGAGGAGGAGGAGGAGGAGGAGGAGGAGGAATAATCACTCGGCCCGCAGGACTCCAGGAGCGCCCCGCGCCAGAAGACGCCTCTCGGGGCGCGGCTCCTCGGGAGCCGGCGCCGGCGCCCCCAGCGCAGTGCCAGGCCCGCGCCGCCGCCGGGCGCGTCGTTCGGCTCGCGCTCGCAGCGGACCCCTCCGACGCGAGCGTGTCCCTCCTGCAGCGGGGCCGCGGCGGCGACGGCGGCGGCCGATTCGCCGCGGCGCTGGCGGAGGCCGCCGCCGCGGCGGCCGACCGCGCTAGCGCGCCAGGCGCGGTGGGGCGCCGGCCTGCGCTGTCGGCGCCCGCCGGGCCGGCCACGGCGGAGCCGAGGCCCACCACGGCGGACACGGAGCCGCTGCTGCTGCCGCCGGTGGACGTGGAGGTATACGAGCTGGACGAGCGGCTGCGGAGGGAGGACGAGCGGCCGCCGTAGAGGGGCGTGGGCCTCTGGCGCGTGGACCCACAGAGATCCTGGACCCCTACCAAGGGGCCGTCTTTTTGTATCCGGAGCCGTTTTTGGGCGTCCCTGGGGCCCGGCGAGGGCCCCCGGAGGCCTCGCGACGAGAGGAGGTCTGGCCCTGGATCGGTGCTGTGCCGCCTTGCAGGCGCCGCCCCTGGTGCGCTCCGCGCACCAGGGAGGGGGTTCCAGCGCCGATGCAACGAAAGCTCGCGCGGCAGACCTCCCAACGCCCATGCCTGTGCCGAGCCTTGCTGCCCGATCCGAGGACGAGCGGCTGCGCAGGGAGGACGGCGAGATCGAGCTCGAGGACGCGCGCATTCTGCAGGAGGACGGGCGCCTCCGGAGCGAGAACGCCCACCTCCTGCTCGAGCTGCAGAGGGCCGCCGCGGGGGCGGGCGAGGATGGGCGCGGTGAGCCGCCAGCCCCGGGCGGCCAGGAGGAGGGCGGCTCCTCGGCGCCCGACCGGGTCCGCGAGGCCCGATGGGTGGGCCGTGGGCGGGGGGGGAGGCCTCCTCCTCCTCCCTTTGCTCCTCCTCCTCCTCGCCCTCCCCCTCCTCCTCCTCCTCCTCCTCCTCCTCCTCCTCCTCCTCCTCCTCCTCCTCCTCCTCCTCCACCTCCTCGGGTCGCCTGCGGCCCTGGGGGAAACCGTGCAGGACCCAGACCTCATCGGGCAGGAGGCCCAGGAAGGGGGCGCCCAGGACAGCGTGTTCTCCGCGCCTTGTCTTGCCGCGTGCCTGGCCCTGGACTCAGCACGGGGCGCCCGGCCCCCTCGTCCTGCCCTGGCTGTCGCCTCCGGTCTCCTCCTTCCTCTTCCTTGCCCCCGCCCCTGCCTCTGACGGTTATCGTGGTCATGGTCTCAGCGATGTTGCTGACGACCGAGGGGGGGGAGGAGGGGGAGGACGAGGAAGAGGAAGAGGATCGCGGCGATGATGACGATTAGGATGATGAGACGGTGGATGATGATGAGGAGGCGGCAGAGGAGGAGGAGGAGGAGGAGGAGGAGGAGGAGGAGGAGGAGGAGGAGGAGGAGGAGGAGGAGGAGGAGGAGGAGGAGGAGTAGGAGGAGGAGGAGGAGGAGTGAGCGTGATAAGGGGACATTTTCAGGGTCCTTCCCCAGCACGAGGCGATCCAGCAGCGTGCTTCCGGCGACGCCGGGGCTCGTGGTTCTAAGCACCAGACCCTCGTTCTGTCCCTGATCATACTGGCGTCCGTCGCGGGGATCTTCGCCCTCCTCACCGCGTACCCACCTGGCACAATCGGGGTGGAGGTAGGTTTTGTTCTGTGTGGCCACGGCCAGATTCGCGTCGAACTTCTGAGCAGGACTCGCTCCAGGGAAGGTCCAGGACGCCATCGTTTCAGGCCGAGCGTGCTCCATGGCAGACGCACTCCAAAGAGGTACCAGTTCCACAGCTGGAAGGCGGCCAAAGCGCGGCGTCAGAACAAGCGCTTCGAGAACAAAGTGCTAGGCATGAGGCCTGATACGCTCCTGTCGCTCTCGTTCGTGCTGGCGGTGGACATCGCCGTGTTCGTCGTCCTGTTCTGGTGTGGCATTATCCAGGAATTCTTGAGGCTGTCAGCATCGGTGATCTACGTGATCCTGGTGATCGCAGGCTCATTAGGGCCAGAGACAGGGGGAGAAAGGGACGGAGCTGGAACGAAGAAGAGGAAACGGATGACGGTGGAGTGTGGGGGAGGAGGAGGAGGAGGAGAAGGAGGAGGGAGGAGGAGGGAGCACCAGTGTAAACCGAATAGTCATCAACGATGTTGGAATGAAACCTCCCTCCAAGCTCCCTGTTCATAGGCCCCTACAACGGTTCATTTCCATTGAGGGAACTGCCTCGTCGGAAGACAACCGTTTGAAGACCCTGAGGCATGCCAAAGCATGATTCTCGAGACTCCAACGCCACGGATCAATCGGACTGTTGCGTCTGGACGATCCCGAATCGTGCCAGAACGCCATTTCGGGGACTTCAACACCGCGAATTAACGTAACTGTTGTGGTACTGTGATCATGGGGATCCGTGAAACTCTTGCAGATGCCTAAAAGGAATGTGCGCGGCGCTAAAGCGAGAACCACATTTTGAAAAGGAACAGCCCTCAATCCGTGAAGCTCTTGCGATTTACACGAATGTGTGCGGCGCTACAGCGAGAGCCAGACTTTGAAAAGGAACAGCCCTCAATCCGTGAAGCTCTTCCAATGTTTTGAAACGGATGTGCGCGGCTTTAAGGCGAGAGCCATATTTCGAAAAGGGGACGCCCTCAATTCGTGAAGCTCCTCCATTTTTTAACGAATGTGCGCGGCGCGAAGGCGAGCGCCACATTTTGAAAACGGGACGCTCTTCAACGTTTTGAAACGGATGTGCGCGGCGCTAAGGCGAGCCACATTTTGAAAATGGAGCCACCCTCCATCTGTGAAGCATTTGCGAAGTTCTCAGACGAATCTGCGCGGTGCTGATGCGAGAGCAACATTTTGAACCGGAGCCGGCTTCCATCTGTGACGCCGTCGCAAACTTCAAGCCGAATGTGCGCGGCGCTAGGGCGAGCCACATTTTGAAGACGGTCCGCCCTCCATCCGTGAAGTTCTTGCGAACTTTCAGACGAACGTGCGCGGTGCTAAGGCGAGAATCACATTTTGAAAACGGACCGCCCTCCATCCGTGAAGTGCTTGCAAACATTGAGACGAATCTGCGCGGCCTTCAGGCGAGAGCCACATTTTGAAAGCGACCCGCCCTCTGTGATTGAAGCTGGGGCATCTTGAAGCTTCAATATCATAACTGGTGAGGACGCCTCAAGCCGCCTGGCCCGCCCTTACGACCCGCCTCGGAGTGAGACATGGAGTTTTTTTTGCAGGAGAAGGTCTGGAGGAGGAGAAGGAGGAGGAGCAGGGGCAGGAGGAGAATGAGGAGGAGGGAGACGAGGAGGAGGAGGAGGAGGAGGAGGGGGAGGAGGAGGAGGAGGAGGAGGAGGAGGAGGAGGAGGAGGAGGAGCTGGAGGAACTGGAGGAACCGGAAGAGCGGTTGGAGGAGCAGGGGCGTGCAGATATTAATGATGTGCAGGAAGGGAACGGAGAAGGCAGGACGTGGAAGAGGAGGAGGAGGAGGCTTGGAGGAAGAGCAGGGGGGAGGCCGAGGATCAGGAGGTGGACGAGGCGTAGGAGTAGGAGTAGGAGTAGGAGTCAAGCTAGCCAGCTCGAGCGAGTCAAGCATGGCATGCCCAGTCCCACCCGCCCTCCCACAACATAAGAAGCAAAGCTGGCACAACTGGGGGCCGAAGTCACACCGGCCAGCCGGTTTGGTACAGCTGATGCGGCCGCGATGGCGGTTGCCGACGGGAACTGGCGAGCGCGTGTTGAATGCCGCGCACGCATTGCCAGACGAGTCGAGAGTGGCCCGGTACACCGCAGGAAGCCAGAGGTGGCCGGAGGAAGCCCGACGGTCTGACAGGACACCCCAAAGCATTTTTGTGAAAAAGCATTGGGTTTTTGATGTTTTTATGTTGAAATGCTTGCAAACACACGGTGTTCGGTAGGATTCTGACATGAACGCGCGAGTGTGCTCTTTGTGGTATTTTTTGCACAGGATTCGCGGCCTGGGTGCATGACAGAGCATCGCGAGTGCACCGCGCGATGACGTGAAATCGCTGGATTTGACCGAATTCTTAAGATTCCTATGGTTTTCCTATGATTTCAGCAAGAGAGCCCGGGCGGGAAATTTGTACAATTTTTGTGAAAAAAACATTGGGTTTTTGATGTTTTTATGTTGAAATGCTTGCAAACACACGGTGTTCGGTAGGATTCTGACATGAACGCGCGCGTGTGCTCTTTGTGGTGTTTTTTGCAATGGATTATCGCCGTGGACGACAGGACGTCCATGTCGAGAGGAAAAAATAAGAAAAATGTTGATTTTGTATTGTTTTTTACAGGTTAGGATGGGACCACCCGGATGCGGCCCCTAATGGCCGGCCTGAGGGGGGAGTAGGAGTATATTCTAATAAGGAATAAGGATTAGGATGAGTAAGGAGGAGGGGAGGAGGAGGAGGAGGAGGAGGAGGAGGAGGAGGAGGAGGAGGAGCAGGAGGAGGAGGATGAGGAGAGGGAGGAGGAGAAGGAGGAGGAACATGAGCAGGAAACAAAGGGCTGACGACCCATGGTGCTCATACACACTATTTCGCACGCATGCGCTCGGCTGCGCTAACCGCAGAGGGTCTTTAATGATGCACCCCCCCTAAGCTCTCGGCGGGGAATAGAAACTCGTCCCTCCTCCTCCTGTGTGGTAGTGTGTCGGAGAGGAGGAGGAGGATGAGGAGGAGGAGGAGGTCGCCAGGCGTTGAGCGATGGGATTTCTGAGCACTTCTCATGACCTCGCATGCATCCGCCGACGAGAATAATTAATTTCCAAATGTTGTCGGGGTCCCAATCCGTCAATAAGCCGGCGGAGAAACTATTCATTTTCCCATTATTGCCCGGGGGTTTATTGAAGACCCTCTGGGATTACCCACTTGCTTCGAGTTAACTACGAGACCGCGTGGGTGACGCAGCTGGACGACCTCCTCTGGGGCGCCTACGAAGAGTTCGCCGGCTTCGCCTTTGACGTTCCGCAGCGCGAGCAAGCCCAGCTGGGCTTGTCCGACGGGGGCTGCGCCTTCCCGTTTGCTCGAGACACGACCGCTTGCGCCTACTTGGGCAGCTGGGCCCTCGTCCTGCCCGGCATCGCCACTTGCCTCGGGATTTCCCCCTCCTGGAGGGCTTCCCATCCAGGTGCCTGCGCATCGCCTGGGACATGAGGAGCGCAGAAGCCGAGCTGGGCGCCCCGGGGGGCCGAGGACGGCCCGATTGACTGGGGGAGCTGCTTGGTGGAGCCACGGGCCATGCTCCAGGGTCACTGGGGCAAGCACATTTCAGCGCACAAGCGGGGGCGACTGCTGCAAACTCTGGGCGGCGACGACCGGCTTGCACTGCGCGCGGGCAGCGGCCTTTCGGAGGGAAGCTGGATTCTCCCGCGCCAGGGCGGGGGCCCGCGCATCCCTCACGCTCACTTCCACGTGGTGCTGCGCAAGAAGAAACCCTTCCCCCAAGCTCCTCTGTCATAGGCTCCCACAATGATTCATTTCCACTGAGGGAAGTGCCGCGCTGGGAGACAAACCTTGAAAGATCTTGAAGCACGCCAGAGTACCATTCTCTGAACTTCAACGCCACGAATCAGCCTGACTGCTACGTTTGGCGATCCTGAATCGTGCCATAACGCTATTCCACATTGCGAGTCAACGCAATTGGTGCGCCCTGACAATCGCGGATGGCTCCATCACACCGTTTCTAGTACGTCAACCATGGCAACCCGAAAAACTCCACAATTTGGTGACAGAAAAAACCACGGTGCGCGACGCTAAAGTGAGAGCCACATGTTGAAGAGGAACCGCTCTCAACCCGCTAACCCTTTCAGTTTTGAAAGCGAATTTGCGCGGCGCTTAGGCGAGAGCCACCGTTGGAAAGCCACCCGCCCTCCACTTGCGAAGCTTTTGCCATCTTTAAGCTTCCAAGTTATACGTGGTGTGAAAATCTCCAGCGAAACGCCTGGGCCGCCCTTCCGAGTGGCCTCGGGGTGCGGTAGTGGGAGTTATTTATAAGGACAGGGCATGGAGGAGGAGGAGGGGGAAAAGGAAAAGGAAGAGGATGAGGATGATGATGATGATGATGAGGAGGAGCATGAATAGGAACATACAAGTGGCGTCCAGGGAGGGATGGGGGAGGGAGGGCGGAGGGAAAAA